GTTACTACTAGCTTATTGTTTCTAATAGCTTCTTGTTACTACTAGTATGGCACTTGTTACTAGTAGCGATGCACTTGTTCCTAGTAGCTTCCCCAAAACTATGGGTTTCTGGAGTTTCCTGTAGATTTTCCGGTAAGCCGATTCGGGGATTATGAAATGAAATGAGACACATGGTCTCTAGTCCTGGGCCCCGTGGCACTCTTAACGCAACTGCAGGTGGATGCTTTTGTGCTCCACTGCCGTCTAGGTCTAGACAGCAAAAGCAAAGCAAATTTAGAGCTTCCATGCAGAATTCCAAGAGACTGCCTTTTGGATGGTAAGAGTGTCCAAGCATATCATTTAGAAGGAATTTTGGATACGATCAGATACTATTGGGATCTACTTGGTTCCAAAAGGTCCTTGATCTTACTGGGTGGACCGCGGAAGCCATAACACATGCTGGACCCGTCCCACCCAGGGTCGACCCGTGGAATTCACAGGTAGAGGGCCTCACGAGCATCAGGAAGCCTGTGTTGGAGCTGAAGGATGTCTCTTTTAGGTGCGCAGTTTATTGATTTGCTATGGATGTTGGGGTGGCACTTGCGGTTTTTTGGTGAGCGGTTGCAACTGACACGCCCACCACTATCATCATGGGTAGCATCTTTGTTGCCTTAGCATCCTATTCTCTGAACATCGCGTCAGAAGGATGAACCAGACAGTTGCAAGACCCACACCCAGCTCTGTCAGCCTTTTGCTTTGATTTTGTGAGGATGACAGTGACGACGCTCTGCCTAAACCGGTGGAAGTCCCACCTGACGAGACTACGGAGTGAAGATTTTGGCCTTCCCATGATTGCGCACAGATGAATTAGGATTTGAAGAATGGCTTGACCTTGTGAGGTACTTGATGGCCAAAGATTACACTCTCAAACATGTGAGTGGCAAGGCAGGGAGTACCGCAGCAAAACTGCTTCGCTTCGGTCCCGGAGTCAGGACGGACCAGAGTCGGCCAGAGTCTTCGAACGTTCAAGTACCCCAAGTACTAATGCAAACGTATCCTCAGATCATTTTGCGAGCTGTGGGAAGAACGAGGTTTGTGGATGGCACAAAGCTGAAACGGAGAGTATCCCGGATACGATGGGAACAACCATTTGCGCGAGTAGCCGTTTGCACTTTATTGTGGGTAGCCGTTTGGACTACATACGGTTCTCAGTCTCAGCCTGTTTGTTTGGTTTAGCTGCATGTTTCTCACTTTACCATTTTTGAGCCCATTTGTTTGGCTAGATAATCATCCTTCTCATGGCAAGATCAAATCCCTTTGACAACCCACCCGGCCCGGATTTTCTAGAAAATGCTGCTGGCAGGAATTGTTTTGGCAGGGATGAGCATTTTCTGTTGCACGTATATAACTGCCAGATGCCTTGAACCAGAACCCTATGAAACATTAAGATCCTGGTCTATGATGGTCTATGCTTACAAAACGTTGCCCAACATATTCAAAACAAGAATGCCCATCATTCCTCACCAAGAATCCTTATTACTACCGGTACCCTCCAAAAAGTGTGACAATGACGTGAGAAACATGAAAAGGCATGCTAAGTCCTTGTATGATTTTGTACCCATGTTAAGTCCTTCTTCCAATCCCAGAAACGCCTTGTCCCTCTAAAACCTCCCCTAGCCATACCGATCTTACCGGCACGCACGTGCATACCGGCGAGGTCACCACCCAAAGCCGGATCGCCATCGTGGGGCCCAATGGCCTGGGCCTTGAGGGTCAGGGAGGGTCAGTTCAAAAAGCACAGCCACACTTGGTCGTAGCAAGAAGCTAGTAGCTAGGTGCATCGCTACGTTCGTAGTTTCTTGTTACTGGTAGTAATGCACTTGTATATCATATCCATTTGACTGGCCCAGACAGCGGCGATGAGTTCGGATGAGGTTGAGGTTAGGGCCTAGCTGTTCAGTACTTTCATGAAGTCAGTTGGGATATCTGACTCCTCCCAAAGCCATTCCAAATTGCACAAAAAGAGAACCCTGCTACCTTGGATGGGAGACCCATGGCGTCTTGAACAGTCAAGGAATGGTCAAATATAGTTTGGAGGCAAACGGCGCAAACCTGGGTCGTGGATCGAAAAGAACAGCTCAGTGAACATGGGCCGATATGTTTGCTCAATGTGATTCGATTGAACTCAAGAATGCCCTTTTGGGTCCCTCAAGCTGCTTTCCGTGGCGAGTAGTAATTATAAGCCTCATATAAGGACCTGGAGGTGTAGGAGTTGCTGCCTACACCTTTTGCAGTGAAAAAACAGTTCACAAACACTTGGTTCCCGAAAAGAACTGGGTTGTAGAATCCTTGAGGGGGCTCAGGCCAAATGGCGCCACCGGCAGACACCGAGCCTAGGCTCTGGAAAGTCCACCCTCCTGTCCGGAAGCCCAACTGGCGGTGTCCAGCCTTCACGCACATCGCAGCACATCGCAGCCGGAGAGCATGGTGGAAGGGGGAGTCTGTACTGTTTTTGACCACATCGAGACCATGGAGGATGGACATCGAGAATGGAAAAGGGTGGACTTGATTGTCAACAATGCATTCAATTCTTCCACTGAAAGTGTTTTGAATCTGTTGATTTTTGCATGATTCAAGTGAGTTATGATTGTCCTTGTTCTTGTGATCCTAGGCCCTAGCCTGCTTGGCCACTAATGCTGACACCTTTGTTCCAAACCGCTCCAGTGATTACCTGGCTGCGAGAATTCTGCACTAGCACCATCCAGACAACATCTTTGGGAGGTACTGGATGGTGATTTGTTGTTGGTTTCTTGTTTGGTTGATAAAGGTACCACTTTTTCCAGGTTACTTCCGGCTAAAACCTAGACAGAAATGGTGGCATCACGGCCATGGCGCCCAGGTCGTTGATTTGTGGGGAACTGAGGCGAGGCAGCACCGATCACAAGTCTGGTCCCGCCCCTCCCCTGGTATCCACCAACTACAACTATTGTTTTATGCAGGTATTTGCAGTGCAGAAACTGAGCCTTTTTGAGGTCTGGATTTGGTAGCCACTTGCAACTGTGCATATACGTTTTCTCTCATTGTTTCTCGTTTTGTTTGTTCTTGCTTTGATTGGGCTTGGTTAGGCAGCACCACCACCGACATTCCTATTAGTTTCCTTGTGTTTCCTGTGGGATTCCTCTTGCTTCATGCCCTTTCCTAGTTTTGTTTGCATTGGCTGGGACTATCGTAAAGAAAACAAAGTTATTTGATGAGATTATCGTTCTTGTAATAGTGGAAATGTTCATGGAGGTGTTTATGGGCGAATAGATTTCTAGTAAGTGGCGGCCAATCTTGCTGATAGAAATGACGCGGCACCTGCCCCTGGGATGGTCTGGTGGAGTTCACCGAAGGTTTGCATGCAGAAAGAGTGCGAACGAATCGTTTCTCAAAGACCTGCCTATCTCGTTTGGTCAAGGAAGGTTTGGGATATGGTTGTGTTTTGTGAAACACCCCGGCCCGTGTGTAAACACATGTAAGACAACCAAATTAAGCCGGGGGTTGTGCAACACAAAAGATGTGCGTTAATATTGCATGTCATTGCTCAATCAAAAGTGTATGTTGGGCAGCAAGACAAAATAAGTACTGTAAATAAGTAAATATATTATATATATACACATCTTTTGTATGCATCTTTTGTGTTGGGCAAACTTTCTTTACGTTGCACGATGTGCAATAGCAAGATTCAAGTTGCACCCATCCGAGGTTGGCTTGGGGGAGTATCTCATCATTTCATTGTTTTTGTCAATAACCATGTATATATATATAACATACTCCGGCCTGTTTTCCCCAAGACTGAGGTAAAACATGGTAAAACCGAGAATCCCGAACATTTGAACTGATCCATCGTTGATCGGATCAAGCGCCGCGACCGACTTCCTTTCATCGAGAACGGGAATTGGCGATCAGGCCATGCGCGGATGAGACGGGCCAGGTCGGAGAAGTTCAGCAGCACAGGAGCGCAGAACCGCAGAACCACGTGGTTCTGCAGTGCTCCGTTGTTGTTTCGAGAATTCTGGACGTGAAGCGAAAAAGGAGCCTTCGCCTGGCCTATGTGGCGCAGTCCCACGCGCCGGGAAGCCAATGGTTGATACTTGATATACTTGTTGCGACCTCTATAGAATCAGGTCTGTTGATAGGTGCTTTGCTTTTTTCCAATTCTAGGATCAGTCGTTTGTTTATTTTCTATGCCTCCTTCAGATTTCCTGGCTCAATTCCCAACGACCTTTGATGGCCAACCTGAAGATAAAGCGGTGTTTTCGAATTGAGACAAGAGTTGGGAAGGGGGGTAGTAGAATTGATGTTTCCTTCTGAAGGATTGAATCGATCTGAAGGATTTCCTGCATCCCTCAAAGGACATCCACCGGGACATCTAGACGTGTGTTGTTCATCGACACGGATGTCGTGTGGGTTTTCCATGGATGTCGATGTCGTGGCCCAAGCTGCCTTGCATCACCACATAACTGAGGTTCCATTTAGCCGACTACGCCAAGTGAGGGAACCCACGGCTCTGGCCACTAGGGGGAGTGACCAGATCGTCTTTGTGGGGGGTCAAAGCAAGCCCGTTTTCGGCCTTGCACCAAGATGAGTCCGCCTGGGTTCATACATGCAGCTGACTGATAGATCACTCAGTGTGCATGCATCTAGCAGGTCCGAGTGTGAGAGAGTTTAGTCACGACTGAGGCGTTTGGGTACCAGTTTCAAGGTACCGATGTGTGAGTGCGCTCGGCGCTCGTTGGTTAAGTTCGAAGAATGAGGGCGCCCTCCCAACGAGTGAACTATACTAGGGGTCTAGTTCACAAATAGCTACAGACTACAGACATAGACTACAGATGGCAATCCCAACGTTTTCTGAACGAGGGTCTTTAGACGTCTTTAGACCATGTGTTTCATAATGTGTCAAATTTCTTTCATGGAACAGTATCCCAAGGGCGGTTTTTTAGTTCGCTCACGGCAACGGAAGTTGGTTCGGCCAAATCTGTATGCACGTTGGTTGGAAGTTGGAATGATTTGATTCATGTTGCTGAAGACGTGATACTTTTGCTGAAGGGGGACATTGGTCCTGGAATGTGAAGTGAAAGCTGGTATACGATGATATCGACTTTTGCATACTTTTGCACAGGTTGGTGTTTTCTGTCCACTTGCACAGTTTAGTCGTTGCGTGTTCATGCTCATTTGTAGGTCTCATGATATCTCATGAGGTCGGGCATCGAGAACTCTAGGTACTTGTTTTGGTGCCTCATTTCATGTCGGTATCAAGACACTCGAGTATACACACTTCAAATCAGCCACACTGTTCTCACAACACACCATGTTCTTCTTGTCAACAACAAGAGGTGCACGGCAGAGGAGTACATCCAAGTGCGCTACCGCAATGGCCAGGTCCTCAGTGTTCGCCTTCAAGTCATGAAGCCACATGGCTTTTGGAATGTTTTCCTCATTGACCTTCATGGACCGCTGTATTCCATTCGTTTTATTCCGTTGTTGTTGTTGTTGTTGTTGTTGTTTTCTATGTCTTTAGCCCGCCCTTAATTAAGTAGTAGCCTACTTAATTAAGGGAAAACGCTCCTAGATACTGGACACAGGATAGATCACACTTCTTCAAGGAAACTCCCCCCGCCTGAGGGCGGCGGGGAGCTTCCTTGAAGTAGCGCTCGCACTAATGATTTGGTTCCCAGACCTGTTTGTTTTAAGGGAACCTTATACAACTGTTTCGTCTCACCCTCGAGCGAAGCAGGGAACCCTAAGACAAGGCTATGATGAAGAGCTGCAAAAGAGGTGGATCTCGGGGCCCTGGGCGGTGGGGGACGGTTAGCTCGTCAACCTCAAATTGTGTTCATTGAGAAAAGCAGAACTCACAACTGCTCGGTAAAAAACAGCAATAGAGTTGCATGTTTCTTGTTGAAAGCACTTGAGGTCTATCAGACTGGCTGTATCATTTTGTATCTCTTTCTATCCCTATTTCTTGCAGCAACAGTCACTAGAAGAAACTATAAGTATATAACATGTGTTCTATTATTTGAATTGTTTTGTTTCTTATTCTATTGGATACCAGCACTAAACCGCTGCAGTGTCTTTGGTCCACTGTCGCACGCCAGGCTCTTGGCTCCGCCGGATGACGCCGAGGCAACGCTCCTGCAGCGCTTGGGCGCGCGCTTCGGCCGGGGAGCCGGGCTTCGGCCGCGATAAATTTTAATCTTAGCAAGTAGTTACTAATAGCTTCTTGTTACTAGTAGCGTCCTTGCTCCTAGTAGTACGGCCTAGCAGTTTATGGCATTTTTTATGGACCAAGTGGACCTCGCATTGTGACCACTAGTAGCTACAATAGCACTCTGAGGTTGGGATGAGTCCCAAGAAAGTGAGGTGTGTTTTAGAGCAGATTCATGACACATGTAGTGGTGTGTCAGTGGTGTGTCCTCTCTTGTTTTTGTGGCGACTTGCAAAAGATCTTGTTTTTGTGGGTGTGTCAAAAGCTCAGAAAGACAGGCAGGTGAATCCTTTTGGATTGGAACCTAGGGACGTGAACTGCCATCCAGTCTTCGGCTCCCCAAGGCAAGTATGGCAAACAAGTGGAGGCTCCGACTGGTGGGCCATTTGGGACTGTGATATACCGAAGTGAAGATGGGAGAATGTGTACACTTTGTGCTGGTTGCTGGTTGAATTGGAGACCTCCAGGTATGAGATCCTTCAGCCTGACAGCCTGCAGGCTGTGGTCTCCAGACGGAAGCAGCGCAACGACTGGAGATACGAGGCTCGAAGGGATGCTCCTACAAAAACACAGTCCAATGCTCGTGATTAGGATCAGATAATATTGCCCACATGTCATGTATATGAACAAGCGGTGGCTTAAATAATGTGAACATTGGCAGTGCTGCTTCGGAGCCTAACATGGCAGCATGTTCGGGCCATCACACGCTAAAAAGAGAACCGAGTCTGACACTCTGTTTTCAAACTCCAGAATTCCTAGGCGTCGACTCCGCGACGACTCCGCGCCATTTGCTGGGAGACCGAGGTGAAGTGGCAAGACCTGGCGGAGAAGCAAAACACCTTCGAGTCGATCGGCAAGTTGCGACAGCTAGGTGTGGAGAGGTGCGGGACACGTTTTTTCGAGTCAGCAGGACGTGGCAGGACGTAGCAGGAGGCAGGAGGTGGCATATCTCATACTGCCATACTGCTGACAGGTTCACGTGTCGTGAATGAGCTGCAATCTGCCGCAGTGCTGACTTGCGTAGACCGATCGAACAAAGGTGAAAACAACAAAGCGAGCAGCCAGCTTCAGAGAAGTTATGCTTGGCAAGGGTAATGCATGAACTGTTATATAATGTTATGTAACTAGGGTAGGTGTTGACTGGGTGGGTAGGGTTCCTATCGGACGACCTTGCAGCGAGACGTCTATGTGTTTGAGGCTTTGACTTTGATTCGAGGGGAACAAGAATTCTATATCTGTATGTCATTCTTTTTCAATGTGTTCTTTGCGTGAAAATAACTTTGTCTCAAAACCACCGGCGTCAAAACGGATGAAACCGCCAGGTTCGCCACCGCCCTGGATGAACGCTTGGCCGTTGGGGTCGATTCGGACCGGGCGGAGCGATGCCTCGGGACAACGGAGTTAGAAACGGGTTGAAATCGGATTTGTTCCGGGTGAAATCCGCTAATCCAATATAATTGCAATGTATTCCATCATGATGTTTGTTCGATAATCCTTTTGTTCCGGGTTATGATGATGTGATTGTTCGGTTTTGGTAATGGCGTTTCTGGCCTAGAAATGCAAACATGTCCACAAACACACAACCCCTAGGATTTCTCATGCAGCCCTCATTCTGAGGCCGAACGTTTTACTGTAAGCCAAAGTGATCGTGTGAAGCCACACCCTCGACATCTCCACCGTGCCGACTCCAGGACGATCGCCCGTTGACGCGCCGGGAAATCCAGAGGCCGTGGTCCAAACGACCGTGAAGCGTGGTGACACCAAACCGGAGCCGTGGTCATTGGGTCGAGAAGGCTGGCGAGTCTAGCTCTACTCAAAAGATGTTGGGCGGTTGGTGAAAGAGGTATTTGAGGGTCAAGAAATTGAAGGAATGTTGTTGTTGTTTGTTTTTTTTCAGGAAGTGGGGAAGTGGATGCACCGCCCATGTTGTAGGCCAGAAGCACCGGGCGTTCGCAGAAGCTAGCTTCAATAGGTGGATCTCGATGTCGAGAGGTGTCAGATTGTCAGTGTTTTTAAGGAGCAGCGTCTTTTTTGTTATCCGCTGCTTCCCTGCACTAGGTTGGAGGCCATCGCTATTGGGCGCCCTAATACCGATTTGCTTTCTTTGTCATCCGCCGCTTCCAGGCACTTGGAAGGTTTTGGCTTGTCGGAGGATTTGTCCACAAAGCAACCCATCAGCGCGGACGCCCATGTGATCAGAGTGGATGCAGGGAGCATCACTGATTGTGAACAAGTTGATAGTCTCAACAAGCTAAACGAGGAATGGAGCTTAACCATCACTACAAGTTCAAATCATCAAACACCACCTATATTTGGACAACTATATAGATATATATACAGTGAAACCCTTCAAGCCAGCCCAACAATATGTTTTCCACCAACTTGTCTCCCCGTGAAGCTAGATACCAACAGAGTGTCTCGAGACCAGCCAAGTGAGAAACTGAGGGGTAAGGGACACAGACCTCTTGCTTTTGAAAGGCTTTGGGTCTTCCCGGATCATCCCCTATTCCACAATCCCTTTGCTGAAACAGATACGGCTTTCTGAACGCTGTCAAATCAAGAGAGGATTTCGTCCAAACCCAGTGTTATACTCATTTTCTTCCGTGCAGTTCCTTGCAGGCCATCGCTATTAGGTTGGAGGCCATCGCTCTTAGGTTGGAGGCCATCGCTCTTAGGTTGGAGGCCATCGCTAGGAGGTTGGAGGCCATCGCTCTTTGCTTTTTTGCTCTTCTTCTTTTCTTTGCACTGCACTCCATTCAATTGCGATGACCGAGGCCAACTCTCTGGTGGTCAGAAGTCCAAGCTGCTCATCGCCGCCGCTGCTTGGACCAAGCCGCACGTGCCTTGGAGTAACGGAGGGGACGCCGCCACATGGGGGCGGAATACCCTGCAGGGCGGTTTTGCAAAGGCAGGTGGAAAGGGTGAGGAACAAGTTTTTGGGGGGAAGCATGGTGGCTGTGTACCCCCTTTGCATCCTGGTGGATGAGGGGATTTGTGTCACTATCAGTGATATAGAGGAGCGACACATTGTGGATGTGTATCCCTTTATCATCAAATGTTTATTCCTCAGTCTGTGGAGATACATGGCTGCCCTGGCAAGCCTTGTTCCTGGGCACATGTTTGGTCATTGGATGTCATTGGTTTGGCACTCCTCCAACTATGACAACATCGGGTGTGAACTGCATCAGTTTCAAAGCCTGTCGGCTGGTCAGCAATTGTTGCTGGTGTTCATTGATGTAGGGGACCATGCCTGAATTTGGACGACCTATGTCCGCCCGCAACCAATTAGTTTGGGAGCTCAGAGGGTATCAGATCTGGGGTTAGCCACCTGTATCGATCTTTGGGTTTTCTTGTTGAAAACACCCAACGAGACTCTTTCGATCCGCTCATTTGATTCGCACATAATGTAGCAAAAACTGGCAGCGCTGTCCAGCTTGTCAAAAAAGCTGAAGTCGGCAAATATCCTACAGGATGTTGCAGGAATATTCTTTTTCATCCGCTACAGGAATGACAACCACAAAAAGAACACAATTGACTCCTTGACCATCCAACCCCCAAATAAGGCACCTTCTGAACCAAAAGAGATTAACTAGCTCCAAAATTGAGAGAAGCGAGAGTCCGTCTCTGCGCGTAACCGTCGAATGCAGCCTCGCAGTCGCAGGTCCTGTGCCTGGACGAACCCACGAACTTCTTGGACTTCGAAACCGTCGGGACAGCTCAGCGAGGCGTAGGACCGTGCTGAGAGGCGCAAAGAGGCTGAGACCGAAGGATCAAGGAAGATCCAGATCGTGCGTGGGCGTGAGATAATGCTTTATCTATGTATGGTGTATTACATTCTTTGGGGGGGTGGTGCACATTATATATATGTTGTCTTTTTTCAAGCAAGTGGGTGTATGTTTTTTCGCTACAGGGGCAAATCGCGAAAGGAAATCGGTGTTGTCTCTATTTTAGTATCTTGGTGTTCAGAGTTTCGGAGGGCCACAGGCCCAGGAAGATGGGACTTGATGCACTGAAGAAGCAGAAGATGATTAAAGATGATATGAAGATCTCAACATGTCGTCACATTGATGCAATCTTGAGTCATTTGATTCATGTTGATTCCCCAGCCCTGAACATTGTGTCATTCATGTTGCACGCGGGCGACCTGCAAAGACCCTGACGAAGAGCTCGGAGTGTACCAGTGCTTTGGTTTACACCGTTTGCTTGCATGCATCACGGGTGTCACTGGCTCATGCACACAGGACAGGCAGTGCAGGTGTGCCCTCCATGCCGGTAAAATATCGGCAGAAAATATCGGAGGTCAAATGTCGATGTGGAAGTCATGGAACCGTCCCAGCAAATGCTGACATAGAAAAACAGAACGCGATCGAACACCCCTGAGTTCCCTGAACTCCCTGAGCTTAGGTGGATGCTCTGAGCCGTGCGCTGCGGAGCTTCCGCGGGGGTGTCCTCCTGGTGAGCCACAACCAGGCGACGACGGACCGAGAGAGGAGGTCTTCGTGTTTTTTTTTTCTCATTCTTTCTCCAACCTAATAGGAATGGCCTCCAACCTCATAGCGATGGCCTCCAACTTAATAGCAATGG